AATTCCATTCCATTCTATTATACAAGAATGACTCTTACTACTTTATTCCCATTAGGATTTCTAACTCTCATAAAAACTATCTTACTAATAAATTAACTCAAAATCTATTGCCCCGAAATAAAAGTAGTTCTGGTACAGACTTAAAAACAGAATTCAAAAGGTTGTAAGACAGAAAAGTATTACTCTGTAATATGAAATGGCATCTAACTAAACAAAATTTAAATGTTCAGAACATTCTAACTCAAATTTCAGCTTTAAGAGATCATTTTAAAAGCTTAATCTACTAACCTGCTTAAGGAAAGAAAGAGAATATATGTGTATATTAAAGTTCACAATAATTCTTCTAGGTATAGATAAAAATATCAATTTAATTTCGTGTAATCTATTAAAAGTTTTTTTTAATGTTTTCACAGTAACCAACAGTCATTTATTTGTACCCCAATGAAGAGTAAAATGTTTAGACCTACTTACTAAACAATCAATCCACTTATACTGGGACCAAAAAACACAGAAAAGCAAGATAATATAAAATGCATGATTCTATATTGCTAACTTCAATCCAATTCCAATCTACTTGTTGGATTCCAAGTACAGGCATGACACTAATGAAATATTTAAGCCATTTTGTTAACCTGATTTGAAAGATGAATGACTCCTCTTCATATAAAATTTTTAATTTGTGTTATTAAGCACTCAAATCTGGTATTAGTATACCTAAATTTGCAACTTTCACTACAATACTCTTCTTGGTAAGCTCTGCATTACTATACAGACACCTAACAAACAGCTTTATAATAGTATGTTATCTTCTTCACTAAATGGTCTTTAACGTAACTAGGTTGCTTTCATTCTTTGTTTAAATTCTAAAGTACACTCGAAGAGGTTAAGATTTACTTCACAGTGCTATTTCTAATTGCTTCAGTTCCTTTATCGAGTAAATTATCTGTTTCGAGTAAGGTATCTTTAAAAGTTTATCTTCATCATATTCGGGTTTAAAAATGTAAACCACTTCCTCATTTTGGTACTCTGTGATAGTATGACATGGAAGTCTAGACTCTGAGCTCTGAAGTCAAGCTATCCAACTCCAACTCAAAATCTATTGCCTCAAAATAAAAGTAGTTCTGTTAAAAACAGAATTCAAAAGATTGAGAGAGAGAAAATTATTACTCTGCCTAAAGATTTAAATGTTCAGAACATTTTAACTCAAATTTCAACATTAATGAGAAATAATTTTTGAAGAAGCATTTGTTCCAGGAAATGCTTCTTAAATCAAAACCGTAACTAGAATCTTGAGCCTTCTTTGAATACACTTAACAAATTCTGCCAACTGAACAGGATTAAGAAAAACTATAGCCAACTATGTTATTTCCAAAAACCTCGGAAGGCTTTACATTTTTACGACAAAACAGATCTATTTTAAAACAATCAGCATTGGTAAAGCTGTTAATCACTCAGTTGAAATTAATCATCTTCCCAATTCAATCTCTATTTACTAAATTCCTTATTGAATTTTCTTCCAACCCCTATTTCCCCCATCAAAAATATGTTTTTCACTAAGTCAAAGAAATTAAACCTAAAATGCTAAGCCAATTTCTGCCCATTAAAAATTATTATATATATATGCATATATTATATTAAATAAAATATGAGTTGATTAGCAAGTACACACATGGATGGAATCAAATCCTTTAATAGAAAAAATATATACTACTGACACTGGGGATTCAGCAAAAGGTATGAAATCAACGATAAAATCTCAAGAAGAAACTAAAAGTTAAAATGTATTATCCATAAGGAATCACTTCTCACATTCCAGAACAACTTCACATGTGTAAAGAATGCTTCCAAAAGATTTTGAAGAAAATTATCTTATATATTTAGAGGCGGGAAAAAAGGCTCCCTAATCTCACAGTAAAAACACACACAATTTCTTTCATCAACAATGCACTCTACAAACTGTTCATTAACTCAGAGGTTATGCAGGTGAGAAGTTGTGACAGCTACCTCTCTTACTGACATAGTGATATTAAAAGGGGCTGAGATTCCTGTTTGGAATAAAAATGAAATAGAGAATAAATTGGAATTTGTGTAAATACAGCAAACTGTTAACAGCTTGACATTTTTAGTATTCCATGAGTTGTAATTATACTCAAAGCAATGTGAGCATCACAGCCTAAAATGTATGTCCTAACGTCCTATTCAATAAAACATCTTATATTACTTTCAATAATAAAACTATTCATGCCCACTTGAAAATGAAGTGTAAATTGTGCTCAAAGCTGTAAAAAAATTAGTTTATATTACAATATTTCATGTTCCTTTTAAATAGTCATAATGCTTTAATAAAAATTTTAATGACCTTCATTTGCATAAAATGGTATACATAATTTTTTCAGAGCAAATATTGCCTAGATAAGATTTTTCGAGGAAAAAGAATTGTTGTAAAATTCTACTTCTGTGACAGAGAAGTCCTTTCCTCTAAAGAATGCCAATTCTCAATATACTGGTTTTCCATAGCTAAGAACTTAGAATGTCATATATAATACAATTTTGAAGTACCAAAATAGGATATGTTTCACTCCGAAAATTAAAAGATCTATAGGAAAAGACCAGTTAACAATACTATCCTTAACATGAGTTCCAATGCAAGGTAGATTAACAATAAAATATAAATTTTGTTGAACAAATATATAATTTATTCTATACTCACACATCCACAAGTAGTACATAATCTTTACTGTCTTTTGGAATTCTACAGGAATGTCTACAGAAAAATCCTGATAGAAACAAGGTCCCACAGGAAAACTGCCAGGAAGAGGCGGCCAATTATTTTTTCTGCCTGCAAATTAAAAAGAAAAAAAAAGGTTATTTATATTAGAACAAATATGTGTTTTGTTTTTTTTTTAGTTTCATAATAAAAACATCTATTCTTTTAATAGGTGTCTTACAAATATAACACTATATCTCTACATTTCTTGAAAACTTTGAAAGCCAAGCTTTATGTCTTTCAAAATTTTTCCCAGAATCACTTTAGAAAACATTAGTTGGTAAAATAATTTTCCAGTGGCATATCATGTAATTTTAGCAGGAGCCAATTATAATTATATACAATTAAAACAAGGAAAAAAAAAAGAACACAAGAACTTACCCTGTGACTCTGCCCTAAAAACAAATTTATTTCAAAGTCTCAAGAGTCTGGCTCTCACATGAAGGCCATGCAGTTTTTAAATCTCTACGATTTCTTCCTCAAACAAGTTAAATCTATTTCCTAACCCATTTGGCAAGGGAAGACCCAGCTTCTGAATCTTTCGAGTTTTCTACTGTTAACTCCATGAAGTAAACACGATTAACCAACACCAAAGTATCAGATTTGGCAATCTCAAAGTCTCAAAAAAATGATACCCAAAAGACACATGTAAGAAAACTATAAAAAACTATAAGAAGACATAAAAGAATCATGAAAAGGAGCTAAGGAATTAAACTGCCTTCAAAAACCTAGAGGAAAAACAAATTTAAACTATGAGAGAAAAAAAATATGTCTAAAGAAATAAGATTGAAAATAGGGCTTGGGGAAGAGACCAGGGTTATGGGGTGAGAGGTAAATAAAAAACTAAAATTAATCAAACATTAAAAACTGAGGGTAAAAATAGCAACTAAAGGCCATTTTCTCATTTTAGATATTACAATCCCACAACTTTTAAACATCAGATTTTACATACATTTTATACACCAGGAAATTTTTCATAGTGGAAAGAAAGAAGCATGACCTATTTCTGATTCTCCCCAACATATCTCCACTGTTTATCATTCTTTTCAAATTTTATGTAGTTCATGCATTTCTCATACGTCTCATGCTCATTTGACAAGCAGCAGAGCACAACAGTAAAAAGCAAGGCTCTGAAACAGAAATGCCTAGCCAATTATTGTCTAGAGGCTTTGGGCAACTTACTTAACCTCCTGAAGACTTTGTTTCTACATCTGAAAAGTGAAAATAACTATATCACCCTTCAAATAATTGTACTGAGGATTCACTGTATAACATATAGCAAATCTAATTCTTAATTTCCCACTCTTCGTTACAACCTTCATTCAAATATGTCTCATAGAAATAACCTGTATGAGTCAACACTAAGGAAATAGGACAGATTTTAGATAGAGGTATTTCGGAAACACTGATCTCAATTAAACCTTTAGTTTCTTTTAGAGATGCTGTCTCTGATGTCGCAAACAAGAAAATGGCCCAGGATAAACGTATCCTCAGGAGGCCCCCAGCTTACACATTCTAAGATAAGCAAGAAACAGATCATTTATTATTGTTGTCTTAGACCTGTCATCCATCAACATCCAGACATATTAACAATGACTTTTTACCCAGAGACTCATAGCTGTCCTTAAAATACTCCCTTGAAGTGGTCTCTGGAAGTCATAGCCTGAATAGATTTCATAGCAAATAATGAATTCAGCATTTCTTTCTTTCTTTGGCATCATCAAAATACCCCAGGCTTCCTAGAGTGACCACAGACATTTTTTTTAACATGCTTTGACAGATACAATATACTTGTTAGAACAGAGGAAGATAACTTAAAACCGCGCTGAATAAACCAGAAGAGTCAGTAAAATGTAGGGCACACTCCCATTTACTCATCAAGCCTCATTAGACCCAAAGACTGCCCAAGTGCATAATCAAAGGCTCCTGGCCTTAGAATAAACCAAAATTATCATAGTCACATTCACTTTCTGTGTGATAAGGCTAACGCTGTTCTAATCTATCAAAAGACTATGCAAATCACAAAGATCAAAGAGCTATACAGTATCAACTAGGAAATCTGCTGTGTCTGAACTCCTTGCTAGAATAGGAAAACAGGACAGAGTTTTATCCACAAATCAAATGACCTAAAGCTAGTGCAGGTATAACTTAAAGTGTTTAAGTTATTTTCATTTCAAACTTCTTTGGATACTACCATGTTGACTGAGGTTTTGCATTTCTCGTTCTCGACGATCTAGTTCTGCTGCTTTTCTTTCTAGTTCCTCCTGGCGCTTGAGAAGTTCAGCTTGGGCCAAGGCATGTTCCTGAACAAAAAATAATAAGTGACTAGGTTGTCATAAGTATAAAGTATTATAACATTGATATACTATATCCTGCTTCTCCCTCTACTATGTTGGAAACCTATTTCAAATGTTCTTCCAAAATACAGGAATTCACTAAAAATTACAGTTTCAGAAAACATTATGGAGATACTTGCTCCCATTTTGGTTTTTTGGTTATGAAAACCCTCAGTGGGAATGTTGGGCACATTAGGACTAAAACAAATTCTAAGAGTAGTCAGAGTCTTAAGGTAATTGGGAAAATAAAATTAAGGTGACCTCAGTGCCTAAATGAGTGAACAGAGACAAAAGGAAGAGTTGAAGAAAACAGAAAAAGAAAAGGGGAAACTGAATTGGCTCTTATGAATTGGGTTAAATGGTACATAAGGTTTCCAATGCAAGAATATATATTATCTTATATTTTATAAAATTATGAAGTGAAAGAAGGATATGGCTAAGAAATTCTGGTTTATAACTCCATCTATCTTTATGTGATACTAGGCATCCCATTCATCTCCCTTTCTCATATTTTGTCCACCTTCTTTTCCTATCACTGTCCCTTGTTTACCCATTATAACTCTTCCAGTAATATTATTCAATCATTGCTACTGTAATGGTATCATGCTTTAAAAAGTGAGACCAAAGGCAATAAAAATTTCTCTATACAAATTGTACACCAAGATAATATATGAATTCAGTAACTGCTAATAACGGAATAAAGTAAATGTTATAAGCTGCAAAAGAAGAATGAGCACTATAGAGTTGACAAGGAAGCTAACCCAGACTCAAAAGTAAGTTAAAAATTAAATAAGGAATCTAACATATAAAGAATTATTTTCATCTGAAATGATATTAGTATTGTAAATGATACTGATATAGTAATTTCCAATATTAATTTACATACGTAACAGAACTAACCTTTGCAATCTGTGTATAAGCTGGATGTTCCTCTGTTGGCTTCATTATTGCTGGTTGGGTACTGGGTACATTAGGCATTTTCACATTGCCTGGTGGAGGCTACAAAGATTAAGAAAAGGGCAAATTACACAACATAGAGATCCAACTTTAACTTCTTTCAAAAGGCATAATATTAACACAAAGCAAAATGCCGAGAACTGCCTCTCTTCCTCCCCTACCTTCTCACAGTCAAATGTGTGGCAAAACCTGCTTAAGCTCTCTATCCCTGTTTTCTCAAGCTCATTAATTTCTCTATTCTTCAATCTGGGTGCTACCTCTAATGCTACACTTTGACAATAAAATATTTCATAAGCAAGACTTAAAGGCAAAAATCCAAATAATAATTAGCAATACATAAAACAGTCAATTAGTTAATACATTTCATATGTACATTTCAATAAGAAATAGATGAACATGTTACTGGGGGAAAACGCATTTTAAAAAATTTAACAGGCAACTTATAAAAGAAACACAAAAGGAAAATAAACACATAAAAAAGTCAACCTCATTAATAATAAAAAAAAAATGCACATTTCACCTAATCATTTTTAAATGATTATTACCATAAAATCATCATCACATTTTGGAAAAGTTGTGGTAAAATGGGTATTCTCACACGCTGAGAGTGAGACCTAGTTCATATAATAATCCTGGAATACAATTTGGCATTACATGTAAAAGCCACAGAAGTATTTAAACCCTCTGACCCATAAATAGTCTTTTAAAATATCAAAAGAAAATAATCCAAGAGATGCACATATGTGTGTATGCTAAGAATGTTCACTAGCATTATTTATAAAAGCAAAAAGTTAGAAATAACTCAATTGCCCAATAGGAAAATGTTTAAATTATGACACATCTGTAGAACATAACACGCACCTATTTAAAAGTTCTGAAAAATATTTAATGAAATGGAGAATGCTTGTACCAATAAATGACGAAAGCCAGCTATAAAACAAAACTGTATATGAAAAGGGGACCCAATTTTTTATTTAAAATATAATTAAAATATATCAAAATGTTAATAGTGATTATTTCTGGATAGTGGGGTTAAACACTTTTTCTTGTATTTTTTATCTCCACTATAATCTTTTGTTACCCAAAGAATTATAAATTCTCTGTTCCACCCCAATATATCACATGAATAGGCAGAAACACTGAAGCTAATCAGTCCTAACTATTCGCCAACTAAAAAAGCACAGTCCTAAAGTCTCAATCTCTTGGTTTAATATGTAGTGATGACAAAACAATGACCAAATAAAATGCCTGCCAAAGTTAGTTTGGCAGCATACTTCAGGAAAAGCATAGAAGAAATTACCCAAGTATTCACCCAGCTGAAACCTTACTATAAATTCTTTACTGTTTACTGTTTTAAGTAACAAATGAGGTATTAACTACAATAAATTATTAGGTAAGGATAAAGGCTGGGTTAGAACTAGAAATTTGATATATCTGAGGTCACGGTTGCCTGTGGTATAACAATAATAGGAAGTATTTAAGTACAAATCTCTAAGAGCACTGACAGCTGTTATCCTGATAATTTCTTCAAATTCCTAGATATTCGCTGGATCCCTGTCGGCTCTGTGGCCCAGTATTTTCTTCAACCACAACATATGTAATTCACCACCTCAAGACAAGTACAGCTCTTGCCATAATTATTAAAGACCTATTCTGATGATGACCCCTAATTCTTTTCCAACTTTTCACTTCTGCACATGTGAGTAAAAAGAAAATTAATACAACAATCCACTCAAGATTCCCGTTTCAGGCAACACAGCAGACCACATATATGTAGAGAACCCCCTCCCCATACACAGCACCTAAAAATGTCAGATCAAATTTTAGTTATATTTTAAATACATAACTAAGAGGACGAAATCCTGGGATGCCAGATGTAGGAAAAACTGCAAATCCAAACAAAGAAGAACCCCGATGCCATGCCATTCACAAAATCACTGGGGCTTAATAAACCAGAGACAAAACTTGGGAAACAATGCAAGGTAAAATCAATCTGAGATCCCTCCACAAAGCCAGGTCTCCCTAAAAAGCAACATTCTCAGTGGATAAGGAAAAAACAGCTTCGCAGAAAGAAACAGTAGGAATACTTGTTTGTCCTCCTCTTAACTTTGGATAAAGAAGCAAAAAAAAAAAAAAACAAAAAAAAAAACACCTAGAAATCTGCCCTGAGAATTCCTAATCAAAAACTTACCAAACTTGCATACTTTCATATTACCCATATATAGACAAAATAATCCAAGCTGAAATTTTCATTTCAATGGATCCCAAGTTGGTATTGACCTCAGGTACCAGGCAAAAGTAGAAGAACAAACTTAAAACCAGGCTTCAGAGAATTTTCACAGATAAAGCTCCAAGAAACTTTGGTTCATGATTTAAACAGAAGGAAACAAGCCACTGTAAGAGCAAGCCCACAGACATACAAACTACAAACTAAGACTCACAATATTGTAATTATCAGATACAAAATATAAAATGGATATTTCCAAAAAAGTAATAAAATGTTTAATAAAGAAATAAAAGAGGGTAATAAAAGTATGACTCAACAACTAGAGACTATCAGAACTGACCAAACATCATCTTAAAACAGAACTTCTAGAAATGGAAACTGTAATAATCAAAATTTTAAATTTAATAGACAAGTCAAAGAGAAGACTACATAAAGAGGAAAAGATAATTACGAAAAATAGAAGTAGGTCTGAAGAAACTGCACAGAATGTGGAAGAGAGACCAAACAGGAAAATGAGAGGTTGAGAGAGATGACAATAGAGTGAGAAGGTCTAAAAAACTAAGAGTCCCAGAGGGAGAGAACAGAGAGAATGAGGAAGACAATATTTAAACAGAATGTGAGGACACGAATCCTCCGGTTCAAAACTCCAAAACCCACCAAATTAAAATAAAGTAACACCTAGACATGTCACAGTGAAAGAGCAAACGCTAAGAACAAGAGATCTTAAAAACAGCAAGAAAAAAAGGAAATGTCAGTAAGACTAAAAGCTAACTTCTCAACAGCAACAGTGGAAGCCCAACTGATGAAAGTGACTGTCAACGTGGAATTCAAGTCCAATGAGGCTACCTTCTGAGAACCAAAGTGATAAAGAATGAAAAATATTGAAAGAGTTACTACCAACAGACCCCCACTAAAGGAATTTCTACTTCAGGAATAAGAAAAATGATAAAAGGAAAATCTGAGATGAAAGAAGAAATATCTTTCTGCCTCACTGTATATCATCTTCATTTCACTTTCACCAAAACTCCGGATATAAAAGGAAAGTCAACCTATCTGTAGAAAAAGGAAGACACTCTAAGGCAATGGATGTACCAAAGTAAGATATGTTCTTTTCCTTCTGACAACCTTGAAACTGTGTCTGCACTGGCGGACCCTGGAGAAAACCTTAAGTATTAAGAAAAGCAGAAGGTGCAGAGATGATTACAGAAAAATACTGAGACAAGGCAGGAGAATAGTAGTAAAGCGACCTTGGGGGCAGAATAAAAAAGTCTAGCACAGCAAGGCTGTATATCTTGCTCCCATGGTGGATAAAATTTCACAAGTTAGAAAAAGACTATTTTAAAATATATCTCTGAAAGTAAAGGAGTTATAATTCCTTTTATTAACTTTTTATTGAAGTATAATTGACATATTATATTAGTTTCAGGTGTGCCATATAATGACTTCAATATTGCAAAATGATCACCACAGTAAGTCTACTTAACATCCATTACCCATACATAGATACAAAATTTTTCTTGTGACAAGAACTTTTAAGATCTACTCTTTTAGCAACTTTTAAATATACGATATTATTAACTATAGGCACCATGCTATATATTATATCCCCTTATTTTATAATTGGATGTTTGTATCTTTTGACCCCCCCCCCCCGCCCCCATCTTCCACTCTCTGCCTCTGGCAACCACCAATCTTCATTTATCTATGAGCTGGATTGTTTTTTTGTTTGCTTAAGATTCCACATATAAGTGAGTTAAGGAATTTGTCTTTCTGTCTGACTTATTTCCCTTAGCATAATGCCATCCATGTTCTCACAAATAGCAACATTTCCTTCTTTTTTATGGCTGAATAATATTCCACTGTGTGTATACTTATGTGTGTGTGTGTGTGTGTGTGTATATGCGTAGATATATACACACACACATTTTCTTTATCCATTCATCCATCAATGGACATTTAGGTTGTTTCTAGTTCTTTTATATTATAACACAAATTACCTTACTATGTTTGCTTATTCCGTGTGGCTCTGGAGCACTCAACTAGAACTACTAAATAAAAATTATAGGAAGATACATATTTTGGCTCAGCAGAATTAAGAACATCATAACAATCATGGTAATAAAACAGTGGATGGACTATTTTATAACATAGTGAACTATGCACTGGAAATTCCAAAGATGTTTCATTATTAAATAAATGATTGAATATTTAAGATCCCTAAACGAACAGGACAAACAAGCAGAGACTCATGGACATGGGACAACAAACTAGTGGTTACCAAAGGGTAGGGGTCAGGAGGGAGGTAGATGGGATAAAAGAGGTCAAATATGTAGTGACAGAAAGAAATCTAACCATGAGAGGTGAACACACAATGCAGTGTGTGTGTGTGTGTGTGTGTCTTACTGTTGAATTGTACACCTAAAACTTACTGGATTTCATTAACCAATGTCACCATAATAAAAATAAAATAAAATAAAGATCCTTTCAAGGCATGGGATGTCTGCAAGTTGTCTTTCCCATGTATAAACAAATATATGTTCTCCTTCCATATTCTAAATTCCTATTTAAGAAAATTTCTCCTTGTTTCTTCCTACCCCTTCTTTTCCATCTGTGAACCAATAAAGTTCTTAAGTATACTCAGAGTCTAAAAGCAATTTTCCTAACATGTTCTTAGATCGCCTACCTCAGGAACTGCTAGTGTTTATTGAAAATGCTGACTCTGACTGTGGACACACTGATTCAAAAACTTAGGGACTGAAGAGAAAGGATTTGCATTTTGAACAAGCTCTAATTTTTAGTGTGCTCCCCAGGGTGA